AATAACAAAAAAGCCAAACTAGAAAAATCTTTCTTTATAAGACACTCACATCTCAGTCACAGCTGCTATGGATTGTTGTTGATCTAAAATCATAGCCTCAGAGACTGTCCACTTTATATTCTAAAGAACTATCACATAAACTCAACATTTTATTACATTCCTATTAGCAAGACGGAATAAATCCTGTCATCTCCATTTTCCAGATGTGAAAACTGAGTTTTCTGTGTGTCATTCACACACATGAACTAGTCTTCTTTTGAGAGGGTAGCACTTCTTTTCCCCTTTTGTTACGTAGTAGTCATGACTTTGCTAAGGTCAGCTGCCACACATGGCTGGACATGTTTCAAAATATCTTTTGTTATTTATTATCATGATTAAAAAAGTAATGCATGATCATTGCACAACACTTTGAAAATACAGAAAAGAAAAAAGGTATCAAAGAGAATAGTTAACCAATTATTGTAACTTTTCAGACTTTTTCTTTGCAAATTTTAAAATAGTGATCATGCTTTATATACAATTACATAAATTTAATGTTACACTAAAAGTATTTTCACATTAGTTTTTAAAGAATCTGAACCCTTCCTCAACAAAATATTAGCAAACCAAATCCAACAATACATTAAAAGGATCGTACACCATAATCAAGTGGGATTTATTCCAGGGATGCAAGGATGGTTCAACATCCACAAATTAATCAATGATTACATAACAATGTATCCAACAAAATGAAGGATAAAAGTCACATGATCATCTCAAAAGATGCAGAAAAAACTTCTGACAAAATTCAACATCCATTTATGATAAAAACTCTCAACAAAATGGGTATAGAGGGAAGGTACCTCAACATAATAAAATCCATATATGACAAACGGGCAGTCAACATCATACCCAACGATGAAAAGCTGAAATATTTTCCTCTAAGATTAGGAACAATTCAAGGATGCTCACTCTCACCACTTTTGTTCAACACCATATTGGAAGTCCTAGCCACAGCAATTAGGGAAAAAAAAGGAAATAAATAAATAAATAAAAGGCATTCAAATCTAAAAAGGAAGAAGCAAAACTATCACTATTTGCAGATGACATGATACTATATATAGAAAACGCTAAAGAACCACCAAAAAAAGAACAAATAATTCAATAAAGTCACATGACACTAAGTCAATATACAGAAATCTGTGCATTTCTATACACTAATAACAAACTATCAGAAAGAAAAATTAAGAAAACAATCCCATTTACAATTGCATCAAAAAGAATAAAATACCTAGAAATAAACTTAACTGAGAAGGTGAAAGACCTGTACACTGAAAACTGTAAGACACTAAAGAAATAAATTGAGGATGATACAAATAAATAGAAAGATATCCTGTGCTCATGGACTGGAAGAATTAGTATTATTAAAATGTCTATACTACCCAAAGCAATCTATAGATTCAATGCAATCTAATCAAAATTCCAATGGCATAGCTCACAGAACTACAACAAATAATTCTAAAATTTTATGGAAACACAGAGGATCCCAAATAGCCAGAACAATCTTGAGAAAGAACAAAGCTGGAGGTATTATGATCCCTGATTTCAAACAATACTACAAAGCTATAGTAATCAAAAGAATATAGTACTAGCACAAAAACAGGCATGAAGATCAATGGAACAGAATTGAGAGCCCAGAAATAAACCCACATACATGTGGACAATTAATTTACAACAAAGGAGTAAAGAACATACAAAGGAGAAAGGACAGTCTTCAATAAATGGAGTTGGGAAGACTGGACAGCCGCATGCAAAAGAATGAAACTAGACTACTATCTTACACTGTACACAAAAATTAACTCAAAATGGATTAAAGACTTGAATGTAAGACTTGAAACCATAAAATTCCTAGAAGAAAACATAGGTGGTAACCTCACTGACATTGGTCTAAGTGATGTTTTTGTAGATCTGACTCCAAAGGCAACGGAAACAAAAAGAGAAATAAACCAACGGAACTAAACTAAAAAGCTTCTGCACAGCAAAAGAAACCATCATCAAAACAAAAAGGCAACCTACTGAATGGGAGAAGATACTTGCAAATCATATATCCGATAAGTGGTTAATCTCCAAAATACATAAAGAAGTCATACAACTCAACAACAAAAACAAATAAACAACCTGATTAAAAAATGAGCAGAGGATCTGAATAGACATTTTTTCCAAAGAAGACACAGAGATAGCTAACAGGCACATGAAAAGATGTTCAGTATCACTAATTATTAGGGAAATGCAAACCAAAACCACAATGAGATACCACCTCACACCTATGAGAACGGCTATTATCGAAAAGACAAGAAGTAACAAATGTTGGAGAGGATGTGGAGAAAAGGGAACCCTCATACCCTGTTGGTGGGACTGTAAATTGGTACAGCCGACATGGAAAACAGTATGAAGATTCCTCAAAAAATTAAGAACAGAACTAGCATATGACCCAGCTATTCCACTTCTGGGTATTATCCAAAGAATGCAAAAACACTAATTCAAAAAGATATATGCACTCTATGTTCATTGCAGCATTATTTACAATGGCCAAGATATGGAAACAACCCAATGTCCAACAATGGATGAATGGATAAAGAAGATGTGGTATATATACATACAATGGAACACTATTTAGCCATAACAAAGAATGAAATTCTGCCATTTTTGACAACATGGATGGACTTTGATGGTATTATGCTAAGTGAAATAAGCCAGACAGAGAAAAATACTGTATCATTTCATATGTGGAATTAAAAAACAAACAAACAAACAAAATAAAAGAAAAATAAACTCATAGATACTGAGATCATATTAGTGGTTACCAACGGGTGAGGGGAACAGGGGGGGTGGGTTGGCAAAATGGATGAAGGGGGTCGATTGTACAGTAATGGATGGTAACTAGACTTGTGGTGGTAATCACTTCATAGAGTATACAGATGTCGAATTATAATGCTGTACACCTGAAACATATAATTTTTTAAAAAGAATCTAAAACATAAAGCTGTTTATCTCCATGGACAATGAAATTTCATAACCCTTTCCCATTTGATCCCTAAGTTCTCATTCAGATTTAACTCACAAGTGAAAAATATTAATGTTCTATAAATTATTTATTTATATTAATATTAGGAACTAATCATTAGAGAGCTATTAATAGCAATTTAGTAATTTGATTTTATTTTCTATATGTCTCCATTGGGTAATTTTATTAGAACCAAGAATTGCATCCAAAGAAACTTTTAAAAATATGTAGAGAAATAAAATCTCAATGTTTAAGTTAAGAAAATTTCTAACCATTAGTCTTACTCATAAGGATTAAATTAGTGACTAGAATAAAGTAAACATATACTTTAGTATGGGTTTGCATAGTTCCTATTAGAGTACATATTTTAAGGACTCCACAACTATTGTTAAATTAAACTAATTTTTTTCTCTAACCCATCCTACAATACCTCTTTTATTTTCTAATCAAAAATGTTTGAAGGACTAGATAGATAGTGGGAAAAAGATGAAATAGCTGTGTAAGAAAAATTTCTTTGACCTTTTCTCTATCTGGTTCTTATTATTCATAGTTTTAGTTTCATAAGTACTAAAATGCATATACATTTCAACAAAAGTAATGCTAAAGCAATTTAAGTGTTGTCACAGTGCTTTCTCTTTTTTTCAGTTAGAAAATTTTTTATGGAAGTATAGTTAAGGTACAGTATTATATAAGTTACAGGTGTACAATATAGTGATTCAAAATTTTTAAAGGTTATACTCCACTTATGGTTATTATAAAATACGTAGTACTTTTCTTTTTATCAAAAACATCTCAAATTTATCTTGTATTTTATTTATTCTTTATTTCAGCAAATATTTGGCAAGTGATATTGGTAGGAATTTCTGGGACAATTTCTTAACATCTAGTTGCTTCTCATTCCAAAGTCTTATAAGTCATGTCACTGGCCAAACACTCAGAACTTCTTTCATCCTTCTGAGAACTATAACCTCTTCTGCAGCCATGATGGACATAACTTGTGAAATAACAACACAGCCTTATTGGGTGAACAAAACTTTAGCAAATCAAACTGCTTGGTCAAAGCCTCAGGCTTGTGTCTCATACAAAAGTGGAAAAGGCCTCACTGCCCACAGATACCGCTGAGAAGGGTCTCAGTTCATTGATTTCAATCGGGCAACCACATTTACTGGGCATTCACCATGTGCAGAGCACCGTGCAAAGCACTGTGGGAAGACACACAAAAAAGAGAGAAGGGTTTGCTAGAAGGACCTTACATGTTAAAATTCAAGGCAAATACCCATAGAACCTAAAAGAAGTTAGGATCAAAATACACAAAACTAATCACAGCTAAACTAAGAGACCAGACCCATTAGGATACCCATTTAGGGCCAGTAAAATAACTGGTGTCTAGACTAGTTCTTTTTAAATTAAGAATATTTGGAAGATACACTTCCTAACTAATTAAACCAATTAAACCACTGCTGCCTCATAAAGATGCAGATGCCCTTCTCCCACTCCTGAAGAGCCTGATGAAGGGTTGAAAAGAGACCAGAGCAAAAGGTTGGTTGTGGCAGAGTATGGAGCACTGGTGTGCTCACGAGAATCAGTGCAGGTTGGTAGATTTTGTCACTCTTCTCCAGGTTCTCTAAGAGCAGCATTAGTCTCTCAGTTTATGAGGCCAATTCCCCTCCCTCCCCTAACACACACAAACATACACTGCTGCCCTCACTCCACACACATGGATGCATACACGCACACACAAATACATGCGCACTCGTGCACAGACACAAACAGAGCCATTACACCTTACACAGGGCAGATGGGTAAACTGACCTAGATCAAATGATAAACTACTATTCCATCAAAAGTGCAAGTATAGAGTAAAACAACAAATTCAATAGACATGAAAATACTGCACAACTGAAGGTATACAGAGCAAATTATCTGGATCTGAGAAGCCCAGAGGCTGTGAGCTTACCAAGAATAATTCTTCTTGCTGAAAGGTCCAGGCTTCTGGATGATGTTGTAACTAAGTGGGACCAGCTCTCCAGGAAATCTGGCGGCAGTGTGGTTAATCTGTTGCTTGATAAATCCAAGTAGGCAAGGTTCTTCAGATACGTGACCGCCTCGTTTGGCACACTGGTTATTCTGTTATTGTGCAAATCCAGGGTCCTCAGACGAGGCATGTCCCTCAGAGATGTCCAAGGGAAAGCAGCCAGAGAATTTCCATCCAAGCGCAACTCATGCAGCTGCTTTAGGTTGTAAAAGCTGCTGGTGTCAAGGCTGGCCACAGAATTATAGGTCAACCAGAGGTACTGGAGCTCCACCAGGTAGTAGAAGGCCTCGGCGGGGATCCTATGGACAACGGTCTTCTCTATGCGAAGCTTCACAGTGTCCACGGGGAAGTTTGTAGGTACCTCGTTCATATCCAGGTCACTGCATAGCACAGACCTAGTGTCACAGAGCAATGGAAGAAAACGTGTTCTGAGACTCATTTGAAAAAAATAATACTTACTTGAAACAAGCATTGAATTTTTCATTCCCTACTGGTTTGCACAAAATATCTATTCAGCCTGGCTAAACTGTTCATTAATAATTTTCCAATATCATCACCTTCTTCTAGGTTGAACTATATGAAATGGTCATTTTTGTAGGTTAAAAACAATCAAATATCAGCAGTTTCATGTGATTCAACCTGAGCTCTTTAGGTGTCAGGCCTGTACAATACACATCACATCTATCCCTGTATTTAACCATCACAACAGCCCAATGAGTTGAATATTGGGTAATAGGTAAAGGCACCAGCTCTAGAGTCAGGCTGATCTTGGTTTGAATCTAAGCTCTATCACCTCCTTTGTGGCCATGGAAAGCCACTTCACCAATCTCTCATTCTCATTCTCTCACTTCACCAATCTCTCATTTTCCCACATGGCGCTGTTATGATGATTAATTGAAATGGATGGAAAATTTTACACCTTCCTGGCACATAATAAGCACTTAATGGGTATTTGCTATTATTATCTTCAATCTCATTTTTACAGATACAATAAATGAGGCCCATCAACATTAGGTAACTTCCCAGGATCACAGAGCTAGTGGTTACACAACAACCTTTCAGACCCACAACTGTCCAGCTCCAAAGTGCACACTCTTAACCTCTTCAGGAAATGGCCCATTTTAAAAGAATCCCCTACTGAAGTTATAAATTGATCCTTTTAAAGAGGAGCACAAGAGAAAGGAAGAAAAAATGGAAGGAAGGTAGGAAGGGAAAGGAAACAGCAAGTGTTCATACTAGATGATTAAAATGGAGCCCTATTTTAACAATGTGACCCGTGCATTGCTTTCAGCCTAAGGAATAAACCAGGAACTGCAAGTTTATTTTTTTTTTACCACTCACTAATTTAAGTGACCTTGAGCAAGTCACATTGTGGTCTTGTTTAGTGGCACGTGTAAAACAGGCATAGAAAAACAAGCCTGTCCCATGTGTGGGTATAAAGTATGAAAAATCAGAAAATTTAGATTCATTTAAACCTGAAAAAAAAGACCTATTTATCTCCCATTATATATTCAGTCCCACTGGATTGCTGAAAATGAACAATAAAAAGTTTTGCAAAGCATCATCTAAATTATAATACATTACACATATAGTAAATAATAATAATAAAACGGCCATTCAGTAAAACACATCACATTAAATCAGTGAATTTTTAAAGCCAGGCTATAATGTAAAGAGAGGGAAGAGGCATAAGCAACGTACTGGTCATATCATCTCTCTTTAACTTTAGGAGAAGAGCCTATAGCATCACTGGAATTCTCTAGGTACACTTCTCACTCTTCATCTCTATTCTGAATCACAAATTTCAGTGCTACTTTATACCAGAATGATCCAGCTTCTCCTCATTAAGTCAGCGTTCCAGTGTGTTGTAATGGAGGAAAGCCTGGACTGGAAGCTAAAAGACCTAGCGTCTTTGTCGGGCAGTCACTGCAGCAACTCAGTGCTGTGGCCTCGGACAAGCCATTTAGTCTCTATATGATTTAGTTTATTCATTTAAAAATGCCAGTGGTCAAACTAGATTATTTCTGGAGTTCTTGTCAGGCATAACATGCTATGATTTTTGTAAAATCCATCAATAATGGGGCCACCATGAAGAAGGAAACATTTCTGTGATTGTTTTCTCAAAGGTAGCTGATCTGAGTCATTAACTGCAGCATACTTTTGCCAAGTAGGTCTTTAAATTGTTACATTCTTCTCACTGTCTTTAACCACCTAGTGACTATCTCAAAGAGATACCAAGAGTTAGTAAATTTTATACAATAACAAGACAAACTACACAAAAATACGCGTTATTATTTATTTGTATAAAGTTGTAAGATATAAATTGAGCGATTCTTTTAACAAATTACTTTAAGAGGCTTACTGTTCACTTCAACCGAGTCACACAAAAAAATCTGATTTTGTTATTAATATCCTCTCCAAAAAAAATCAAGGTTTACTATGTTTAGCCAACAAGAATTCTGTTTTGCATTTAACTTCTATCTAAAAGGATTCGTGCATATTGTAAATAAATACTTATTCTCACTCCACAAGTAAATATTAAAGCAACACAGAGGTTAAGTAACTTCTGTAAGGTCCCACAGTGTCTGCAACACAAAGTGTTGACCCATTTCTTTCAAACTCCAATACCTTAAAAGGAGAAATTCTGATTATGAACCTCTCTAATTTCACTCATGTGATCGTCCTTCCTGCTTCCTAAGGTCTATCCAGTTGCCATGAATAATCCTCAAAATGAAATGGAAAACACTGGAAGCAAATGATCTGGGCATGTCACACACCTTCTGATCGGCCCTGCCCTCTTGTGCTTTCTATAATCAGGTTGAACTGGCCACACGCATTTCAGTGGTTTGACCTCCTGCAAGGTTCATTTTGTGAATACAAGTGCAATGAATATTTTATTAACACGGAATGTGTCTGAGAGTCTCAAATAATTTGAGGGGCTTTGAAGGAGTTAAACTGCTCAAAATGAAAACATAAAGGAGCAGGCAACCAGGATTAACACAATTACGTTAAAGCTTATCTAGATTAAATCTTCTCTTCTCTGATTTCTGATCAACAATTTGCTTCAAAAACAAGGCCATCTGGTTTGAGTCCTTTTCCTCAGAATCATTAGAACACTTAGTAGCAAGGAGAGAAGCATACCTTGATCTCATGCCGTCATTTCTGCCATGATAATCACAGGTGCACTGTGAAGGACACGAACAGCTCACTCTTTCCAAAAAGCCAAGCGCAATGCACAGACTTGCAAAGAGACGCATGGTTCCTTTTAGACGTTATTTGGACAAAAGGTAAAAACCAAATCCTAAGCATTCAGAAACTGGTGTGCCAAGAATACAAACGGCCATTTAGTAACAGCAGATTACACGGGATTAGATGAGATCTGTAGTTACTTAACCTTCAAGTGTATCTTGCAGGGGATCAATCAACCTAGCCTTTGAATCTGGTTTCAGCAAAGTAACACGTTCTAAGGGAAATGAACATCAAACACGTCAGAAAATTTTCAATAGTTGTCCATATCTAGATTTACAAGAAAATGCCTGTTAAATCCCTTTCCTATAGAAGTAATTGTTACTACACCTTGAAGATACACATCATGCTCAAAATAACTCAATATCTTAGCAGATGTTAGAAAACACTGTAGATTACTTGAATGTTATAACATGACAAATTTTACTTTTTGCTTTTTAACAGTATGAATAATATTTAGTTTTATAAAATTTAGCTTTAGAGATAGAAGCACATGACATAAAATTGATTTAGAGTAATCAATATTGCCACATACTGGTTAGCCCCCAAAACAAACTAAACAAATTCCAGTACCTAGAGTTTTTTAGGCAAAATGCTTCAATCCATCACTGTCGTGGCAGCACTAAGACTGCGGTGACAGTGCATCGTGCAGTTCTCCCAGGTCATTTCTGTGTAGTGCAGGCTCATCCCAACACATTTAGTTTTTTAGTGAAGCCATTATCTTTTTTCAAGAATATATTTTATTCCAAGTTAGTTTCCCAAGTTATGGGCAATCAAACCTTATCTGAAGCTTAACTGTCCTGTTTTTAGCATATATTAGGCTCTATCAGAAAATAAAAATTAAATATTTTAAAAACTACTTCCATACACATAACATAGAGAATCCACAGGGTCAATCAAGGATTTAGGCAATAAATATATAGGGCATTTAACCTTCTTTTGGGGTGGTTCTTTTCATCCCCTTTAAACCAAAATACTTTTTCAAAAGGAAATTAATTCTATAAATATAAGAATATTATGGAAAATACTATTTAAAACTAATAGGATACATATAGAAACAATAGTGTCAAAAGAATTTTCTCAAAATAAAATACTGTGGATTTTCAGGATATGCACAATTCATTTATTCATCTGGTATTTACTGAGCATTTACTCTGTACCAAGCACTGAACTAAGTCCTAGGGGTCCAAAGATGAATAAGACATGATCACTACATAAAAGGAACTCACATGATAAAGAGAGGCACAGAGTACACTTGTGAGGAAGCCCAAGAGAACACCAGACCAACAGTATTGGTGGGGAAAGCCTTCCTAGGGAGGGTGTACCTGAGCTGCCCCTATAGGATGCATACTGATGTATTAAGTGGAAAATCAGGAAAGAGGCACTGCAAGCAGAATAACAAAAGGAACAAAGGGATGGAAGCAATAAACAGCATGTGGTCCTTAGAGAAATACAAGCATTTCAGGTTGTTCCAGCATATGATTTGAGGCAGGAGGTTTAAAAAGAGGGGAGGAGATAAAGCTGGAGAGGTGGGCAAAGATGAAGTCATGAAAGGTCGTCTCAGATGCCCTGTCAAGGAGCCTGCACTCAGCCGGTAGGCAACAGGCAGCGGTAAACGTTAAGCCAGGGAGTGGCACAGCACACTACCATTTTAGATAGATTTCTCTGGTGTCTGTGTGGAGGAAAGGCTTAAATAGAGCAAAGCAAGGAGGGAGGGAGGCTGTGGTTATAGTCTAGGTGAGCAGCCACAAGCCGGCAACCTGGACTGCCCTGCTGGTCGTAGCTAAGATAATGCAACCTCCGGAAATGCCTAGGAGGGGAAAATGCCTGACTAGATAAAGGGATGAAGGAGAAGAAGGGATTTAAAAGCAACCCCAAGGTTTCCCAGCATGGAGACACAGTTGATTGGTAGTGTCCCTAAGTGCACTTGCAAGCAGGGGAGGAGAAAGGAATGGCAGACAGGTGGATAGAGCTCTGATCACCAAATGACCAAAATGGTTTCTGAATTATTAATTTCATGAATGTTACGATCTACATAGAAGCAAAATATGTTAAACAGAATATAGAAAAACTGCTTAAAGATAAAACATCAGAAATTAATAACTAAGAGGTTAGACGGAGATACGTAACCAAAGCTGGGTCTTCCCAGTCTTTTCATATAAGCAAATTAATTGACTAAGGTGGTATTAAAATATAATTACAATGTTGAAGTCCTTTATGCTTGAAGCAAAGTTGCCCCTTGATTATTGCTGGAAATGAGTCCAAGGCTTCGCAAATTGGAACTCTGGAACAATTTCTAAACAATATTACATACATTGCCCCTGCCATATACTGGTTCTGTGGCTTTGGGCTCAGACCCTCATTGCGCTTTCTCTGTAAATGGCTCAGCTACAGGGGATAGGACGAGCAAAGAGCTAGTGGCACAAAGACACTCAGAGCTCTCTGGGAACACTAAACATTTAATTTGGCCAAGGGGAAAGACAAAAGCCTGAAAAGTCCCTGTGGGACCATGTTGAAGAGGGTCATGAAGGTCCAACTGACAGATTTATACTTACTTGGCAGGTGATTGAAGATTTTTTGAGCTGAAGATTTGGGAGATTGGAACTTTATTTTTAAAAAGTTATTCTAGTTATAAACTTGATGCATTGATTGCAGTGGAGAAAGGCAGAGGATGGGGAAATAAATTAAGAGATTATTAGGGCAGTTTATGATTCCAAATATATAGAGACAGTTGTATATATATATATAGGACTAATGCCCTTATTTTCCTTTATATGCAGCCAAAGGTGCTAAAGAGACAAATTTAAAAAATAAAATAAAGATAAGAAAATACAATATGCAAAGATACACAGCCTCACTAGCAGTTAAGGAAATATGAAATAAAATGAATTTGTTATAATATATAGCTTATAGTTTAAAAAAATTGATACAGCACTATTAGCAGGAATATGATGGGGAAAGTGAACTCATTCACTGACAGTGGCAGTGCAAATTAGTTCAGTCCTTCCAGAGAGCAAGCTAGCGACAATAATACTGTTTCTATATTTTTATCTAGTAATTCTAGCCTGAGGAAACACTGAAACAGAATAATCCCACCCTCCAAAAAAAAGTATTTGTACTAAAATATTCCCAGTGGTTCATCCATAAACCTAAGAATTGGAAGCAATTTAAGGGTCCACTATTGGTCCACGATTAGTACAGAACAGACTAGGTCAGGTGACCTGGGGATACACTGGGTGGCACCTAGTAGAAGTTCTTAGCTTAAATACTTACTTATGACCTTACTAATGTTACTAGCTATATTACTTATATTCAGCCTATTTTTCTAACATCTTTATTGGAGTATAATTGCTTTACATTGTTGTGTTAGTTTCTGCTGTATAACAAAGTGAATCGTCTATACGTATACTTATATCCCCATATCCCCTCCCTCTTGCATCTCCCTCCCACCCTCCCTATCCCACCCCTCTAGGTGGTCACAAAGCACTGAGCTGATCTCCCTGTGCTATGCGGCTGCTTCCCACTAGCTTTTACGTTTGGTAGTATATATAAGTCCATGCCACTCTCTCACTTCGTCCCAGCTTACACTTCCCCCTCCCCATATCCTCAAGTCCATTCTCTACGTCTGCGTCTTTATTACTGTCCTGCCCCTAGGTTCTTCAGAACCTTTTTTTTTTTTTAGCTTCCATATATATGTGTTAGCATATGGTATTTGTTTTTCTCTTTCTGACTTACTTTACTCTGTATGACAGACCCTAGGTCCATCCACCTCACTACAAATAACTCAATTTCATTTCTTTTTATGGCTGAGTAATATTCCATCGTATATATGCACCACATCTTCTTTATCCATTCATCTGTTGATGGACACTTAGGTTGCTTCCATGTCCTAGCTATTGTAAATAGTGCTGCAGTGAACATTGTGGTACATGACTCTTTTTGAATTATGGTTTTCTCAGTGTATATGCCCAGTAGTGGGATGGCGGGGTCGTATGGTAGTTCTATTTTTAGTTTTTGTTTTTGTTTTGAATTTTATTTTATTTTTTTATACAGCAGGTTCTTATTAGTTATCCATTTTATACATATTAGTGCATATATGTCAATCCCAATCTCCCAATTCATCACACTATTTTTAGTTTTTTAAGGACCCTCCATACTGTTCTCCATAGTGGCTGTATCAATTAACATTCCTACCAACAGTGCATGAGGGTTCCCTTTTCTCCACACCCTCTCCAGCACTTATTGCTTGTAGATATTTTGATGATGGCCATTCTGACTGGTGCGAGGTGGTACCTCATTGTAGTTTTGATTTGCATTTCTCTAATGATTAGTGATGTTAAGCACCCTTTCATTATTGAGTCTATTTTATAAGATTATTGTTTCTTGCATTACTAAATGTGTGACTGAACCTCTGATAAAAATAATTATGACTAGACAACTTAAAACAATTGACCAAATATATAGTTCTACAATAAGATCAATGACTGTAACAGTGTAACTCTAGATATGGAAAGAGGCAACAAGAAGGAATCAGTTCCTGGACCATAGCAGACTAGTAAGACAGGCGGTCCAGAGGCTTTGGCTACTGCTAACAGGGCCTAGTCCAGTAATAGCACACTGAGTGGCCTATCAACAAAATCCTCACTCGAACTGGGAATGAGCATTCCTAGCACGGTGGGACAAATTGGTCATGAAATGCCTCTCAAACCTTGGTCAAAATCATGACCAAAAAGGAGGGGATTATAAAATAAAGATATTGCCCACTATCCAGTTCTACAAGAATCAAGTCATTAGGCACTGCAGTCACGGACCTACAAGACACCCTGAAAGGAATTCAGGGTGAAGATCAGGATAAGGCACTTCGTTCTCTGGGAAAACTAGCTGAACCAGCCCTCATAGTTAGATATTTTCAGGAGAAAATTTTATGAACCCAGTTTTTTGCATCTTCCCAAACTTAGAAAAGCACTAAAAACATTAACTAAGATATCTATTCCTTGCTATAGCAGTGACCTTCTACTGAGATGTGTACTTGATTGCACTATATAATGGCCTCCCACCTTACCTCTTTGGAACAGTCCTCAGAGCTTTCTGAAAGACTGTCTCTTGGGATATAATCTTGAGGTTGGCTCAAGTAAAATTTTCCATTTCTTTCTTACACTGACTATTGGTTAATTTTTTCATCAATAAAACAAAAGATAGGAAAAAAACACAAACATACAAAAACCCTCACTCTGATTAAACTTAATTCTAGTGCCAAATATATGGAAATACATACACATGAAAATACTAATTAAAAATGCAGAACACATAATAGTATGCACAGATTATAAACTGCTATATAAAATATATATGTGCATTGACTGATGTGATTTAAAAGCAATAGTGCTTAATATTCATTTGATCATTTTTATTAAGTAGACTGTTAATAAATAATTGCATTAAATTTTTTAAATTGTGAAGTGCTAAAAACGTTTTCCATTCTAGCTGGGAACATCCAACAGCTCATTTCAGTAATTATTTATTAAAGACTATACTTATTATTACTATTAATTTATTCTAACATTAAAATAGCAGTTGCTTCTGATCTAATGGGGAGACCAGGCAAGATACCAGGTACAGCGTAATACATGCCATGATAGGGAGAAAGAGAAGAGGCCTTAATCTCATGTGCCTCTATTCACCAAAGGAGATAAGCAATAAGTTTACATATAAGGAAACAATGAAACATTCCCTACAGTGGCCAGTGCACCAGCAGAAGAACATATAAACTACACGTGAGAAATCTACAGTCTATTAGGACAATCCTCTATGTCTGCATTTGATTGAAATGGGCTCAGATTTTAAGTGAAATTAAATCATTGAAAAAAAAAAGTAAAGCAAATGTTTTGATAATGTGTGCTTTCCTCTTATTTCAGACTTTTCCAGAAGTCAGTGGGTTTTGGGGTACATCCATTGGTAAGATACTCTCCACGGGCATTGCTTGGTGAGTCTGACATTTGAACATGGCAAGCATTGCCCTCCGGAACCTACAATAAAAAAGGGAAAATCTGGCATTACCCATGAGGACCTGGCACTTTTAGAGTACTCTCAAACATGGCTAAGATGCCACTACTACCAACTGGCATCTCCAGATAAATTTCTGCTTCCAGCTTTAACATCTGCTGTTGAGCCCCTTGGTCAATGTATCAAGCGTATGACACAGTTAAAGACCACTTGTGCACCACTGACTATTAACATTGAAGACACTTAATAAAAACCACTAATTATGTCTAAGAGGGTGCATCTAACGTCATTTGCAAGGAATTATTTACTTGAACTAAGGATGTGTATTTCATGCATTTGTTCTTCTGAGCAAAGGCCAGTCTAAATTAAGAGGAGCTTGAGAATGCCTGACCTTTCCTAAAGAACTACCAAGAGACTCTGAATTTAAAATGTGTTCTTTATGCTTCTTATGCAGTCTGCTTCTTAAAAGTTTTTATGTTTCTTCATATATCTGTGGCTAAAGTTGCTTTCCTAACATGTGCATAAATAAATAAGTGTAATAGAAGCAGCACTGGCATTCCAGGATCAAATTACTTCACCTCTACTGAGATTTTTCTGGTCAAATATTTAAGCACAGTAGATTGGTTCATCCCAATCTACTGTAGATTGGTTCATCTACTCTTACATCTTTAAGCAGTAACAGGAAATGAAGTAGTGTAAGCTTCACTGACGAGGCAGGAAAGAAATCCTTGCTCAGAGGCTCAACAAAGGGGGAAGGGGAAGATTCTCAACTATTCTGAGTGACTACACACTCCTGAAGCCCTTTATGTTAGCACTGAATTTTTCCTTGCGTTTGAATGATATGTCTTCCTCCTAGTAAATATACAACTATGCTACCCACTTAGGGAGTCCAACTGGCCTTGCTTTGTCCATTTTCCAGTAACAGAACTACTCTCTTCTTTGCAAAACCAATTCCATGTATTTTAAACGGGGTAACCATGTGATCCAAGCTGAGCTCACCATTGACCATCCAGGGCCACTTCTGCCAGAAAGCCATGTGAGACGAAATTCACATTTGGGAATGCTTAGCTTGTGGAACTTGGGTCTTGAGTTACCTGTGATTATCTCGCCTCTGTGTGGGAAGAGCCTGTCACAGAACTGGAGCCCTAGACATTTAAGGTCCTAAATGCTTCTCAGGTTGCATGAACCAAGTAACTTTTACATTCATCTGAAGTGAGTTTCTGTCACTTACCTCCCCAAAAGTTTTAGAAAATTATCCATTGACTTTTTAACATTCTTTCTGTATATGCTTTTTTTAGTTGAGAAGCATTTTAGACATAACTTACTTTTTATTAGCAATCACATAAATACAGGGATTGTAGAATGTAGAAGATTTTGCAAACAGTGGAGCTAGGATGGCCACTGAGGGAGGAATCTTCTTTGGGTCACCAAAAGAAGCCCATAAGCACACGATGGAATAAGGGGACCACGCCACCAGAAACATGAGTATCATTATCACAGACATCTGTAAAAGAAATCAATATTCGCCAAACCCAATATCTAAAATATCAAAATAATTAATATATCTTAAACTGCATGAAAAATTATCTGGATTGGAACTTGAATAAATGTATGTTGTTGAAGACACAGAGGAAAAACTGAATTTTTCCCCTCATACTTTGCTACTGTGCTTGAGGTCATCTATGATAACAAGAGCTTGTGAAATGGACAGACTGGTGCACGAATGTAAAGAATGCCCGCTTTCTTTTGGTGAGCCGGGGAGAATACAAAAGCTGGCCTGGATGACAGGCAGAAGGACCCACTCCTGGCCCACTTGGAGTAACTGTGCTATAGGGGCTGCTGGTGTTGCGCTTTCTCTTCCTCACGCTCATCTGCTAATCTAAAAAACAACTTTCTAACTTTCTAAACTCAATGTGAAAAAAAAAAAGTCCTCTATTGAGCTCAGTGAATTCTCATACAGGCCATTCGAGCTTGGTATATAATAAATCACATATAATACGTACAGTGCAGATAATTTTGTAAAGGAGCCACCATTATATTTTGTTTGAATGAAAAATTATAATTACATTGCTCCCTCCTGATTGCCCACTAAAACGATAGAAAAGGTTTAAAAAGACATAAACGCATAAGGTCTGAGAACCACAGATTAGACCGCTTTGTAAAAGTTAAAACTGAATAACCATTAGACAAGTGGCATATTACTTATCAGACCTGAGAATGATTTTTAAAAAAATTTTTTTTAATTTTAAAGAGCCAGGAATGAGGGAAAATCAGGTACAGACGAATCCACTCCACAGAACTACAGAAAGCCTCAGGAATTGGAGATGACAGTTCTGAATGTGGGGCTGCACTTGGAACCTAAAACACAAAAACTCATTAAAATCTGCAAAAAGAAGCAGTTAGACTTCTGAATCCCCTCTCTGTTCAGCTAGGAAACAGCCCCCTCTCCCCAGAAGAACCCCAAGGGTCAGTGTAAGAGAGGGTAAAGCAGGGAAACTTGAGACTGGGGGACACTGGGCTCAGCTGAGAGCTGGCGTACTGTCCTGAAAAGAGGGGGGCTGCACGCTGTCCCTTCCCTGCACTGAGCCATGAGAATGTGGGTACACAGACTTGTACCTCCTACCCAGAAAGGCGAAAGAATCTTCTCGCCTTGGAAACTGACCAGCCCAGAAGAAAATACCCAGAGGTACAGATCATTAGAAACCCCCCTCTCCAAAGACATATCCCAGTGAAAGAGCACAGCGAGAGCTCACAATCAACTTTTTAGCGCATCACTCTTAAATATGCAGGGACAGTCACTGATCACCAGACATTGAGGAAACACACAAACTGACAGGCAGAGACCAAAACAGTGCAGGAACTCGGGGGAAAAAAAAATATGTGATGAACAGAAGGAAAATGTAAATACATACACAATATCATCACAGAAATGAGAGAAGATACACATGCATTAAACAAGAAGAGGACACTATCAAAAAGAAGTACAGAGTATAAAATAATGCTTCCATCTCATCTATAAAAGTGGGAGCGGAATTTTAAAAATGCAACAGGAAGGTTGAAATGTATGGTCAGCCAGGGTAAGGGTCAGGTAAATAAGGTGAACTGAAGTGCAGGGTCAGATCCTGTCTTTATTTAATATTTTATATTTTGTTCAATGTGGATTTTCTACATACATTTTGATTTTTTAAAATACTGCACTAACTACTTGATTTTTTGATTACTGAGCTTTTTGGTGCCTGCTTAAATTTTGCACCCCAGGCTTGAGTCGCACTCTCCTCACCCAATCCCAGTCCTGTACATGGTTGAGGAAATCTCTCAGAAAGTAGAAACAGGGACTTCCCTGGCGGTCCAGTGGTTAAGACTTCGCCTTCTAATGCAGGGGGTGTGGGTTCGATCGCTATTTGGTGAGCTAAGATCCCACAGGCCTCCCGGCCAAAAAACCAAAACATAAAACAGAAGGAATATTGTAACAAATTCAATAAAGACTTCAAAAATGGTCCACATCAAAAAAAATTTTTTAAAAAGAAGAAAGTAGAAACAAAAACAAACAAACAGGGGACTTCCCTGGTGGTGCAGTGGTTAAGAATCTGCCTGCCAATGCACGGGACATGGGTTCAAGCCCTGCTCCGGGAAGATCCCACATACCGCAGAGCAACTAAGCCCGTGCGCCACAACTACTGAAGCCCGCACACCTAGAGCCCATGCTCCGCAACAAGAGAAGCCACTGCATTGAGAAGCCCGCACACCACAACAAAGAGTAACCCCTGCTCACCGCAACTAGAGAAAGCCCTCGCTCTGCAATGAAGACCCAACACAGCCAAAAATAAATAAATAAAAACAAAACAAAAAACAGAAATAATGCAGGAGAGAATATTTAAGAAAATTAAAAGACAAATCCAGGAGATTAAATACTCAAATAAAAAGAGTTCCAGAAAAAGAGAACAGAGAAAACAAAATGGGAGGTGAAACTCACCAGAGAAATAACACAAGGAAACTCCCAGAAGGGAAGACCTGAGTCTTGACATAGAAAGCATTCACCCAGTACCCAGCACGTGGGTGAATAAAGAGCCACACCAAGGCATATCGGCGTGACATTTCAGAAAACTGGAGACACAGAGAAAATCACAAGCTTCCAGAGAGAACGCAGATCACTGGAATGCTGTCAGCCTTCTCAATAGTGACACCTGAAGCCGAGAGACTACATAGAGTAATGTCTTCAAAATTCTTTGAAAGTCATTTTTCTACTAGAATTTTCTACTAGAATTTTCCACTAGAATTCCGTACCAAGCAAACAATAGGTCAAACATAATCGTAGAATTAAGACATTTTCAGATATGCAAAATCTTAAACATTTGACTTCCTTGTGACCTTCTCAAGACTCTATTAGAGAATGTGTTACACCAAATGTGAAGGAGTTAACCAAAAAAAAAAGGGAAGACATACAATTCAGAAAACGAGTGATCTGACCTATGAGATAGGCCAAAGGCATTCCCAGCTGGTGACAAAGGAGATGTGGGGATGCTGGCTTCCTAGGTAGTCATCCTAAAGAACAGCCAGTGTAGACTAGGGCAAGAGATCTGGCGGGTATCAGGAGGGTAGCGCCAAGAAAAGGATAAAGTCGACCTAGTCTCTGATGTATCTGAAAATACTAAGAGGAGACTGAAGCTTCTGGTGGAGAGTTTAGAGATGAATTAATGACAGGTACACAGAAGAGTCAGCAAACAAAGCTACAGAGAGAGAGAGAGAGGGAGAGAAGAGAAGGGGAGAGAGATGAACGGAGGAAGAGAAAGAGAAAAGGAATGAATTGTTAACTCCAAAGGGGAAAAAGTTGTATAAAAAAAGAAATATAAATCAGAGTCTTACAGAGATTTTCAATAAATAAAATTTAGATAATCACAATAATGTAAAATTGGCTCTTCATCTAACCAAATATTAACATTTTACTGATAAGATGAGAGATAAACGCTGGTGGGGAGGAGTAGGAATGGTTGGTGGTATAAGAAAAATTTTCTTTGTCTATAGTAGGAAATCAAGAAGTAACAGCAAAGAAAAATACCTAAAACAGGGCTCCCCTGGTGGCGCAGTGGTTAAGAATCCATCTGCCAATGCAGGGGACACGGGTTCGAGCCCTGGTCTGGGAAGATCCCACATGCCGTGGAGCAACTAAGCCCGTGCGCCGCAACTACTGAGCCCGCACGCCTAGAGCTCATGCCTCGCAACAAGAGAAGCCACTGCAATAAGGAGCCCGTGCAATGCAATGAAGAGTAGCCCCTGCTCGCCACAACTAGAGAAAGCCCACGTGCAGCAACAAAGACCCAATGCAGCCAAAAATAAATAAATTTATTTAAAAAATAAAAAAATTACCCAAAACAGCAGATAAGCACATCATTTAGAAATACGGAGGCCAACACCAGAAAAAAGAGCCAGAGAGTAAGAATCGGGAGTTGGGGAGAGGTGACTGCAGGGGCCAAGGAACCATGTCCATGTAAAAGCTTGATTACAAAACCTTTTTAAGGATTTTAATGTCTTACCTTTGTTACATCTACCTGATCTGACCAATCTCTGTTGAGATACTCAGTGCAGTTACTAGTAGCATGATGTTTAATGGATCGAGTGACATGGTAATAGCAGTAAAACATCATTATCAAGGGCACAATAAAATTTATCGCAACAACCATCATGGTGTAAGAAACAAAAGATCTGAAAGTAAGAAAAGGAAATAATTAAATCATGACATTAAATCACTACTCATTTAATATACTAAATAGAGTAAGGGAAACAGGATAATTATCAGAAATAATACTGGCACTGTCCAGCAGTCATTATATTATTAAATAGCTTAGGAAGTGCATTTGACTTTGAGTTCATTTGGACTAGGGGTTGGCAAACTATGACCTGTGGGCCAAATCCAGCCTGTCGCCTGTCTTTGTAAATAAAATTTTATTGGAACCACATTCATCACATACAGTCTAGGGCTGCTATCACAGGCAGAGTTGAATAGTTGCAATGGAGACAGTCTTGCCTGTAAAGCCTAAAATATTTATTTTTTGACCTTGCACTAAATCTAAAAAGTTTTAGATTTAGTTTGAGAGTTAGAAATTTTCTATTTGCTTTTCTTCATAATCTTTCATTTCCTTTAATAAACTAAATTACCCCCTTTTCCCTGGAAAATATAGGAAAGCATCACTGATGAGCAAGCAAATCCTTGCAGTGACTGTGCTTTTGCTGCATAATTCTCAGGAGATGCTTTATCACCAGATCATCTAGAAAAGAAAGCCTGGACTTTTGCCAGATCTGCACACTGTCTAGCTCCACTAACACTCCTTTTCCCCGTCAGGTCCTACCTCTAAGGTGCGGATATTGGAAGGATTCTCTGTTTTGCCTTTGCTGCCAGAAGATAGAGGAAGAAACAGAGCAGGGGACAAGGGGAGCTGGATGGCATTTCCTTGAAAATAAGCATAATTCACTTTTCTCAGTTCATCTCTGCTGTAATCATATCATCTATACCAAGGAAGATCTTTGTCATCTCTGCATGAGAAACATTTGATCTGACCTTAAATTTGAAATGGTGAGAAAATGTCTACACTAGAAGCATTTGATTATAAAGTGTAAACATGTCTCTTACACATCATTTTTCCGCCAGTTTATGGTACAGGTGGCCCCAGTAGGATCTGGGGCATAACTAGCCCACCCAACAATAGGCATCAAAGCCCAAAAGAGGCCATTGAACCAGGCCCCCAGAATCATGCTGATGTAAGTGTTGGTGGTCATTCTTCTTCCTATTAACAAACATATGGAACATCAAAGTCATTTCCCAATGATGTGATTCATATCTTCATTTTGTTTTAACTGATTATTCAAAGTTGTCATCAAATAGATTCTTCACAGAGCACTTTAGTTCACACAAAGCCTATCTACATGAATTCACATTCTGAAAAAAAAAAATGACATTTAAGCTGAAACCTGAATGATAAAATGATCAGTCAGAGGATAGAAATGGAGAAACACTAGGGAAATAGCATTTACAAAGACCCCAAAGTGGGAAAGGGTTTGGCTAGTACCCCAAAGTGAGAGGACCCCAGACCACACTGGAAAGGTAGCCAGGGGCCAGAATGCATGGGACCTTGGAGGCTGTGTTATGAAATTTGGGTTTTATTCTAGGTATAATAGAAAATCACTGAAACTTTCAGTCAAGGATTATCAGAGAAATATGACTGACCATGCTGCAAGCCATACATTTACATTTTGAAGTGAATGTGTATCGAGCAGTACTTAGGCAAAAATGGGTTCATTGAGAAAGCTGAGAAAAGTGCTGTACCTGCATCAGGACAGCAGATGGTCAGGTATCGATCCACAGCCACAACTGTGAGCAATCCAATACTTGCCATTCCAAAAAAGATATTCAATCCAGCATAAATCTGAAGATTAAAATTGGAAAGATTCCACCATTCTACACATCCTCCCAAGAGACATTTACACTTTTATCCCATTGCTAAAATATATTTTAAATACACTGAGAGTTTTTTATTTTACTAATTTTAAAATATATCATCTATTGTCAAATTATAAGTGGTTTAATAAAGGCATTTACAGAAAATGTTTTGAGACTTCATTAATTAAAATAAACTTTTTAAAAAATGTTAAGGCTTAAAGTAAAACTTCTATACATACTCTGTGGAGTGCAAAAACAAACCATAAATTAAGTGCAATGCATATAACCAACAAAAGACTGCTATTCAGAAGACAGACAATTCAACGGGGGGAAAAGACAAACAGAAAAATGGGCTATTAACACAAGAGGAAACCTGCATGTTTATGACATAAGATGTACAATCACATTAAATCTTGAAAGAAATGCTAATTATAAGATACTATTTTATATCCATCAAAATGCTACAAATTCCAAAGTCTGACAACCCCAAGTGTTGGAGAAAATGTGGAGTAACAGAAGTTCTAGCAACTGGCACAACCATTTTGGAGAGAAATTTGTCCACATCTGATAAAACTGAAGATAAACATTATCTACAACCAAACCATTCCTTTCCTAATAATGTATCTAAACTCTCACACATTGCAGAAAAAGACATGTATGAGAACAATTTATTGAAGCCTTGTTTGTGGTTTAAAAAAATTGGAAACAGGGAATTCTCTGGTAGTCCAGTGGTTAGGACTCGGTGCTTTCACTGATGGGGCCTGGGTTCCATCCCTGGTCGGGGAACTAAGATCCCACAAGCCAAGCCACACGGGGCAGCCAAAGAAAAAAAGAAAAAAATTAAAAAAACCCCAAACAACCTGAAGCACATATTGCAAAACATTAAGGTTTGACAAAACTGGTTGGTGCACACATGGGTATTCCCTACTCTCTACTCTTTTCATTTTATTCTCTATAGTTTTAGAGCTTAAAATAGCTAACTGTTTTTAAAAATTAGGCCAAAAGTCATTAATGCAAATTAATATTAATTTATTTTCTTGTCAGTAAAAATCATCGTAGATATATTCACCAGCAATTCTCTTGGAGAACTTTCCATAGAAAAAAATCAGCAACATGTAGTTTAACTACATTACTTAGATATTATGACACAGTCATTATTTTATTGTTTCAAATGAAAGCAGAGTATTTCTTTTTGAATTTGCAATATGCAAGTTTTTATTTGAATATGCAAATGTTCACTTTTCTTCTCTAGTTGACTGCTAATTTTTTGTTAGTTTAGTTTTTTCCTTTGAGTTGGGGAAATTTTGAAAATATAATGATGGCGACTGATTTCATTTCTCTTATTAAAGAATATATTTCCCAGTCACTCCTGAAGCCATTTTTATTAAGAGCACCATATCTATTATCCTACATAATCTTATTGGATTGAAACCCTTGGGATTTTTTAAAGACATTTAAATGTACATTTTCTTAATCTACTTTATTTTGCTTTGATTCTAAAGATCTCCAATACCTGACATCCTGCATATCCAAACTTCCAACTTCCATGCAGATCTGAAGCAGCGGACATGGGGTAGCCAGTGCTACTGACCCCTATATCAGTAACAGCCAAGTTAATGATAATTGCATTTGTGGGTGTCCGAAGCTCCTTGTACTTAATGAAGACGCCGAGAACTATTATGTTGCTGAGAACACTCATCATACCTGTGAACATAAACAAAAAAATCACACATTTTGTTTAATCTGAATGTGTAAAAGTAGAATCAAATTAAATATTTAAGCTCCTTCAAAAATATAGCAAATCCATTTTGGTTCGTTTATTGGAAGAGCTTCAGCTATTCTTCAAGCTAGTTGTAGTATCTTCACAGCCCTTTTGTAAAACAGAAATATAAAAATTAAAGCACAAAGAATCTACCAATTGCATAAACCAGCACCAAAGACTGGTGTTAATGTCATCACTATTGATCACTCTGTCCTTGATGTTATCCCCTTGCACGTCATGATACCACCACCACTGATTTTTAGAATATACATATGATCATACAATCTCCTTTGGCAGCTTAATTTTCTCATCCTCCTTCCTGAAGCCTGAGGCTCTCCTTTCTCTATAGTTTCTCAAGCCTCAGCTATCATTCTATCCTAACAGTGCTTCTGTCACTTTCCATCCCTGAAATATGCTCCAGTCCTGCATCCCTTTTCATACAATTCATTGCCATTAAACATTTATTAAGCATCTACAGTATGTAAGATCATATGACTGTTTCAATATCACTTGAAACTCAACATGTTCAAATCTAAATTCTTCATTACACATACACACACACACACACACACACACACACCTATAGAAGAATGCACACTGCAAGGTTTGGCTATCCAGAGAGGAAGTCGGACTGGCTTTCAGGTCCACTGAGAAGCCTCACAGGCCATATCACCCTAGTCAAGTCTCCACAGCCTGGGATCTGACTCCTAGACCTGCAGGTCCAGAAACTCAATGTTGTCAGTGCCCCAGAATTGGGGATTCAGGTAGACTGATGACTGAACTTCTTAGTCTGAATGCCAGTGTTTTCATTTACAACAAGAAATATTGTTGAGTGGACTGGATGTGCATGTCAGCCTGTTTAACACTCCCTACATGCAACAAAGGATGCACACATTTCCCATAAGCCAGATGTGGGCCATATTAGGTCCTAACAGCTGAGAGAGGCTAGAGCTATTACCAGATTCCTAGGGGGAAAAGGAGGGGTAAGGAACAAAAAGCATAGAGTGGTGTTCACCATCATGAACAGAACTCTAGTGATCAGCTCCAGCTATTGCCAGAGAGAGGGAAGGTTTCCAAGCACCCAACACCCAAATGTAGGAAGAACTTCTATTATATCTTGGCACCTTGGTCAAAACTTCCATTCAAAATCCTGTTATACTAATCTTCCGGATTCCTGTTCTTTCCTCCTGCATGCTGCTGGCAGAATAAACTTTCTACAACACAGAATTAACCAAGGCTCTTCTCAAAACCTTCAACACACCCCAACGTCTGCGTGATAAAGTCCACATGTCCCAGCCTGGTATTCCAGGCTCTTTGCCTCAATCTGTTTTTACCCTCTCTAAGCAAATTTTCACACTTGTCAAACAAGCCCTCCATCTAATTATTTATCAAATGCACCAGGCTTGTGGTAAATTTCGACTTTCATTTCTCCCACTTGGAACACGCTACTCCTTTCCTCTACCTTTCCAAATGCTACCCTTCAAAACTCTGTTCAAGGCCAATTCTGCCCCAAAGACTTGTCCTCTGCATAGTATCCTCTCTTCTCTAAATTCTCAAAGTACTTGTTTATATTATACTTTATCTTATGTGATGCTATATTATTTAATTCATATATGCCTAGTCTTCCTGTGTAGATTTTAGGCTTCTAATCATTTCTATGTTGTATATATGATATATAGATTTATTTAATAAACAGACAACTAAAACTCATATTGCTTAAGGTCTATTATTCCTGCAAGCATAATTAAGGCACAATGATATCAAATTTGATGATTCTCTGGCTCAATATTTTTGCATCTAGTATTGTAGCTCCAAAAATTTTAGTGAATTGAAGAGTCTTTCTGGGCTAGTTACAGATTTGATGATTTTTAAGTCAGATAAAAACACAGTGCAGTAAATTGTTGCCTACCAAATATGCAACCAGAATAAAGTAATTATGCTTTGGGGGCGGTTTTAGATATAACAGGGAGAATGAGGTAAACAATTTAGCCCTTTTTCTATTTTCTCTGCAGCTATCTCAAGCACTCTGCTTTATTTCCTATCTGTAGGTGTTTTCTAATGAGTAGACAATAGATCATTTAGTAGTTAGGTCTATGTTCAGTTAATTTCCCCTTGGCTTCTGTGGCTCTCCTCCAATCTCTTTGGCAGATCCTTCTTAATCTACTTCCTGGCCTTTCTTTCTTCATCTCTACCTTATTAAATATATGCATTGTCCAAGTTTCTGTCCTGGACCTTCTTTCTTTTCACATTCAATATACACTCAGTGATTTCACACAGATCCAAGGCTATATGCTGTTACTTTCCAGATCAATCTCATAAAATTCAAACTCATGTGCGCAGCTTTTTACGGGACTTCTCTCAAACGGAACCCAGAGATTTTCTCTCTTGACCCAAACATGTTCTTCCCCAGATGTGCTCCCATCTTGATGAATAGCTTCACCATCTATCCAGTGGCCCAAAAGAGAAACCTAGATGTCATCTTTGATGCTCCCTCACCTTCTCCCCCAGTCTCCACATCCAACCATCAATTCTAACTTCTAGCTCTTGAATGTGTCTATCTCCAATGCTACTACTTCCTCCTCAGAAGTCTTTTAAATCTTAATCACACAGGGGCCACCTGCCTGGTCTCTTAGCTACCACTACAGCACATTTCTAAAATACAAATTGGATCATGACATTCAGTGATTCCCCTATCGCCTTTACGGCTTAGGTCTTTCATTAGCTGGTACACAGCCATCCTCTCAGCCTAGTGTCTCTCACGCTTCATCCTACAAGTCACCCGTAATGAATCTATTTCAGATCCTTAATTTGCCATGCCCTCTTCCTCCCCAGCATTAACTGGAGAAAGGGAGAGTGCTCAAGTTGGTAACGTTTGTAAGAGCTACAATCTGAGAGAAATATTAAACTAAAAATTAAATTTAAAATGAAAAATCTAAATAGGCTCTTGGTAAAAGTAACAAATGAAATAAATGCTTTGACTAAATTCTTTTCCTTACGGTTTTGGTTTCGATTTGGACATTTAAGTGAGTTTTGTTAAAGGGAAAGATTGGGGGGCCCAAAGAACAATAAACGTTTGAACAAAAGCATAAAGAAGTTAGATATGCTCCCTTCAGTTCATCTACTAAAAACACAAACAAACAACACGTACTCATAGTATTGATAAAACTGATCCTTGTGGTTATACCTGAGGGTTCTAGAGTCGAAATACCTGAGTTCAAATCCTGGCATAGCTACTTAGTAGATGTGTGTGTTGGGAAAGTTATTTAAACTCTTTATCTGTAAACAGGGAAAATAAAATTTGCTTACTGAATTAGCATTAAGGATGAATTATTCTGTACATGTAAATATTTAGAACAGCGCTTGGTATATACCAAGTATTCCAATAATAACATTAGTAGTGGTAGCAGTAGTAGTAGTGGTGGTGGTGGTGGTTGGAGTAGTAGTAGCAGTAGTAATAGTAATTCTAGTAGAAGTCATCATTGTCGTCATAGTAAGATTACTATTACTATTACTGTTACTGTTACAGGGGTAAGAACCAGCAATATTTTCTTAACAGGAAAATTTCTTTGCATGCTTCTTTTGTAACCAGATCAAAAAAGATAGCTTTTCTTGGTCATCTACCAAAAACTAACTAAACCAAAAGTTTGTATACAAAGTACTTCTATGTAATTGTGATAAGGAGCTTATCTCTTTAAGTAGCATATTGTTTTCTCCTTTCTGTTGCAACATCAAAAAACAAAAAATCAAAAAGAAAACTTATCCAATGCTTATCATACAGAGGTATTCAAATGAAAAAGTTAGCTGAGGAACCACATTTTCTATCACAGAAGTAATACTCTGAATTATGGGGAAACTAAGCAATTATAAAGAATAAACTGGGTACAGTAGGATTTGTTATGTTTTTACTCTACTTTTGAATATATTTGAAAATTTTCATAAGTCAATCCAAAAAAAATAGAGTTACTTCTAAAACTCATTTTACTAAGCATAAAGTTGAAAATGAAGTGACTGCTAAGCATAAAATTAATACCACAATTCAACCTATACATATAAAAGGTAATCAGAGAACTTCTATTGTCAATTTCCTCATCCTTTTTTTTCAGCCAACGTCTTTATCTTAATCCAATATATGCATCAATGAGTGTGTGTATGTGGGGAGAAAGAAACATTTGTCCAACATATACTGTATATATCATTTAGGTATATTTGTGCATTATTTAATTTTACTCTTCAAAACAATTGTGACAGTAGCTTATTCTTATCCCCATTTTACAGATATGAAAATGGAAGAACAAAAAACTTGCTCACTGTTACAAAGATACTAAAAAATGAAAACCAAAGCTCAGTTTTCCAATACAGCATTCGAAAATGAGCTCAATTTACAAACTCTGTCCTCAGTGACAATACACTCTGCTCTCTCTTTTTACGACTTTAATTTTCTTTCCAGGATCTTTCGATCTTAACTAGATTCCACCGCCAAGGACAAAACTACAGAAAGTATGTATGAGAATAGTAAATGCTATAAAAATACATCTTTGCCATGGTGCACACTATTCCCCAATAAAAACTTAATTTGACAATGTAATAACCAAACATATGGATAATTACTCATTTTATAAAAAACTTTTCTCAGCCCCATTTCACAGCTCTCACTGCCTATCAAAATTCAAAATAACTTGTTATATTAACCACCATTAACAATGTTTCCATTTATTCTTTCACCTACATTCTCTTTTTGATCTTTACAGCCAGGAAGTAGAGCAAGTATTATCATCCTTATTTATCACATGAGCACCCCAACTGAGAAAGGATAAGTGACTTCTCAAGGCTGGCCAACAATATAGAACTTGAAACATTAACTCTGAACCCATGCTTTTTCTACTACCTTATGCTGAAAACCTCTGCTTTTCTTCACTTATTCAAAAACAAAATAACTGTTAATGGAATAAACATCCATACCTGCCGTAATCAAGTAAGCTGCAACAATATTGTGTTCAGTCTGTGAAAAGGTCGAGCCGTCTTCATTCTTAGAGTCTGAACTGTTGCCTAAATTATTCCTTAGCATCTTGGAGGGAAGATATCAAGATAGCCTTCATAATGGGCCTTCAATATCTATGAAATGTTTCAAAAGCCACCTAGAGAAGAATTTTCAGAACCAATCATTTCCACTTAAAGACCTCAAAGAAGGGCCTTTTCATAGAGGCCCTCCCTTAACAAATTTAATTGGGCTAATTCCCAGAACAAGGGAAAAGCTTATTAGCAAAATAAACAGAAATAACAAGCAACACACATTTTAACCAATTAGGGCATCAGCTTTATATCCAAGGAGATTATCAAGTGCACACATCCCATTTAAACAATAAACAAACTCAGAAAATCAGATCAGGACCTGGCCTAACTGATTTCTGCTGGAAATCAGTTTCAAAATTAAGAGCCAGACTTACTCCTCTAAAACTATTCAGATTAAGGTCCCTGTTTTCTGTTTGACCCTTTCAAGTTTTCCATTTCAATTCTTTTGTTTTTTCCATAACAATTTAAATCATTAGAGATAAGTAAAGAAGTAATCTCCCCCATCCTTCCAAATTTTACTTCCCTAATGGTAATAATATTGTTCGGTGTATATTCTGCTTTTCTTTGCTTATAGAAACATATACTTATACAACTGTTTGAGGTTTCTTCCACTTTTTTTTTCATTCTTTTCAAAAAATGGGGAGCTATGTATATATAAAATCATTCTGTAATTTGTTTTCCCCGAAAGCCATACCATAAATTCCAGGTCAGTAAAGCATGAATATAGCATGATCTACTTCACAATTCACCTCAGTTCATTTACCCTACACTTTGATATGCACAAGTAGTTAATCTGGTAATAATCATAGCATGCACCAGCAAAGTATCTAGACTCAATAATTCATCTTGTAAAGTACTGGGCACTTCTAATATTCTGGATTATATTGTTATAACTCCAAAAGTGGGTAACATAAGTGGGTGACAATCTAATATGAACATTTATTTTTAGAATAATATATGCCTATACCTTTTTTCCTCATATTCTTTATGCCATGTAATATTATAAAAATCTGATTCTTCTCAATACTGAATTTCTAAAAATCAGTAACTTTACAGAAATGCTAGATGCACCAAAGTTAACAGTGTAAGCATGTAACAGAACCACTAGAGGGCTATATTTACCCACTTAATTTAATTTTATAAATCTTAGAATGGCACAGCAAGAAGGGGCTGGATAATCCTTTTGCCTCAATTCTCAGTTATACACATATATAAACTGAAGAAGTTGAAATCAGGTTGGTCGATCTGTCCCAGATCCCATAGCTACTAGTACTCAAATTTTTATAAATGTAATGAAATATTTGTAAGTGTATCTATACTAGGAAAGTGAATCTCTTTAGTATTCCAATGTCAAAATATTTTCAAATGACCCTAAAGCAATGAACATAGTACCTAAGATGACCTCTCCCTGTTAAAAATCTATGGGTTGTTAGGTTTTAAGTCTTTTTTTTTTTTTTTGCATTCACCATTCACTCAAAATTTTTTTAGTCTACTTTGGTTCATCCTCCCTTCCTTTTCTGTAATGGATTATGCTTAGTTAGTTTTAGCACCCATTTAAACTTTCCAGAAATAATTTTTTCTATTTATAAGAACTGAAGAGGAGAGATTGGTTCAAGATGGTGGAGTAGAAGGATGTGCGCTCACACCCTCTTGTGAGAGCACTGGAATCACAACTAACTGCTGAACGATCATTGACAGGAAGACACTGGAACTCATCAAAAAAGATACCCCAGATACAAAGGAGAAGCCAAAGTGAGATGGTACAAGGGGCACAATCACAATCAAATCAAATCCCATAACTGCTGGGTGGGTGACTCACAAACTGGGGAACACTTATACCACAGAAGTCCACCCACTGGAGTGAAGGTTCAGAGCCCCACGTGAGGCTTCCCAACCTGGGGGTCCGGCAACAGGAGGAGAAATTCCAAGAGAATCATGCTTTGAAGGCTAGTGGGATTTGATTGCAGGACTTTGACAGGACTGGGGGAAACAGAGACTCCACTCTTGGAAGGGCACACACAAAACAGTGTGCACATCGGGACCCAGGGAAAGGAGCAGTGACCCCAGGGGAGACTGAACCAGACCTACCTGCTAGTGTTGGAGGGTCTCCTGAAGAGGCGGGGGTGGCTGTGGCTCACCGTGGGGACAAGGACACTGGCAGCTGAAGTTCTGGAAGTACTCCTTGGCGTAAGCCCTCCCAGAGTCTGCCATTAGCCCCACCAAAGAGCAGGGTAGGTTCCAGTGCTGGGTCGTCTCAGGCCAAACAACCAACAGGGAGGGAACCCAGCCCCACTCATCAGCAGAGGAGCAGATTAAAGTTTTCCTGAGCTCTGCACACCAGAGCAACACCCAGCTCTACCCACCACCAATCCCTACCATCAGGAAGCTTGCACAAGCCTCTTAGGTAGCCTCATCCACCAGAGGGCAGAGAGCAGAAGCAAGAAGAACTACAATTCTGCAGCCTATGGAAGGAAAACCACATTCACAGAAAGACAGACAAAATGAAAAGGCAGAGGAATTTGTACCAGATAAAGGAACAAGATAAAGCCCCAGAAAAACAACTAAATGGAGATAGGCAACCTTCCAGAAAAAGAATTCAGAATAATGATAGTGAAGATGATCCAGGACCTCGGAAAAAGAATGGAGGCAAAGATCAAGAAGATGGAAGAAATGTTTAACAAAGACCTAGAAGAATTAAAGAACAAACACCTAGAAGAATTAAAGAACAAACAAAGATGAACAATACAATAACTAAAATGAAAAATACACTAGAAGGAATCAATAGCAGAATAACTGAGTAAAAAAAGAACAGATAAGTGACCTGGAAGACAGAATGGTGGAATTCACTGCCACAGAACAGAATAAAGAAAAAAGAATGAGAAGAAATGAAGACAGCCTAAGAGATCTCTGGGACAAGGTTAACCACAACAACATTCGCATTATAGGGGTCCCAGAAAAAGAAGAGAGAGAGAAAGGACCCGAGAAAATATTTGAAGAGATTATAGTTGAAATATTCCCTAACATAGGAGAGGAAATAGCCACCCAAGTCCAGGAAGTGCAGAAAGTCCCATACAGGATAAACACAAGGAGAAACACACCAAGACACATAGTAATCAAATTGACAAAAACTAAACACAAAGAAAAACTACTGAAAGCAACATGGTAAAAATGACAAATAACATACAAGGGAACTCCCATAAGGTTAACAGCTGATTTCTCAGCAGAAACTCTATAAGCCAGAAGGGAGTGGCATGATATATTTAAAGTGATGAAAGGGAAGAACCTACAACCAAGATTACTCTACCCAGCAAGGATCTCATTCAGATTCAACAGAGAAATCAAAAGTTTTACAGACAAGCAAAAGCTAAGAGAATTCAGCACCACCAAACCAGCTCTAAAACAAATGCTAAAGGAACTTCTCTAAGTGGGAAACACAAGAAAAGGACCTACAAAAACAAACCCATAACAATTAAAAAAATGGTAATAGGAACATACATATTGATAATTACCTTAAACGTGAATGGATTAAATGCTCCAACCAAAAGACAGGCTTGCTGAATGGATACAAAAACAAGACCCATATATATGCTGTCTTCAAGAGACCCACTTCAGACCTAAAGACACATACAGACTGAAAGTGAGGCAATGGAAAAAGATACTCCATGCAAATGGAAATCAAAAGAAAGCTGCAGTAGCAATACTCATATCAGATAAAATAGACTTTAAAATAAAGAATGTTACAAGAGACAAGGAAGGCCACTGCATAATGATCAAGGGATCAATCCAAGAAGAACATATAACAATTATAAATATATATGCACCCAACACAGGAGCACCTCAATACATAAGGCAACTGCTAACAGCTCTAAAAGAGGAAATTGACAGTAACACAATAATAGTGGGGGACTTTAACACCTCACTTACACCAACAGACAAATCATCCAAAATGAAAATAAATACGGAAACAGAAGCTTTAAATGACACAATAGACCAGATAGATTTAATTGATATTTATAGGACATTCCATCCAAAAACAGATTACACTTTCTTCTCAAGTGCACACGGAACATTCTCCAGGAGAGATCACAGCTAGGGTCACAAATCAAGCCTTGGTAAATTTAAGAAAACAGAAATCATATCAAGTATCTTTTCCAACCACAACACTATGAGATTAGAAATCAATAACAGGGGAAAAAAACGTAAAAAACACAAACACGTGGAGGCTAAACAATACGCCACTAAATAACCAAGAGATCACTAAAGAAATCAAAGAGGAAATCAAAAAACACCTAGACACAGATTACAACGAAAACACGACGATCCAAAACCTATGGGATGCAGCAAAAGCCGTTCTAAGAGGGAAGTTTACAGCAATACAAGCTTACCCCAAGAAACAAGAAAAATCTCAAATAAACAATCTAACCTTATGCCTAAAGGAACTAGAGAAAGAAGAACAAACAAAACCCAAAGTTAGAAGGAAAGAAATCATAAAGATCAGAGCAGAAATAAATGAAATAGAAACAAAGAAAACAATAGCAAAGATCAATAAAACTAAAAGCTGGTTCTTTGAGAAGATAAACAAAACTGATAAACCATTAGTCAGACTCATCAAGAAAAAGAGGCACAGGACTCAAATCAATAAAATTAGAAATGGAAAAGAAGAAGTTACAACAGACACTGCAGAAATACAAAGCATCCTAAGAGACTACTACAAGCAACTCTATGCCAATAAAATGGACAATCTGGAAGAAATGGACAAATTCTTAGAAAGGTATAACCTTCCAAGACTGAACCAGGAAGAAGTAGAAAATATGAACAAACCAGTAACAAGCACTGAAATTGAAACTGTGATTTAAAATCTTCCAACAAACAAAAGTCCAGGACCAGATGGCTTCACAGGCAAATTCTATCAAACATTTAGAGAAGAGCTAACACCCATCCTTCTCAAACTCTTCCAAAAAATCGCAGAGGACAGAACACTCCCAAACTCATTCTATGAGGCCACCATCTCGATACCAAAACCAGACAAAGATACTACTAAAAAGGAATATTACAGACCAATTATCACTGATGAATATAGATGCAAAAATCCTCAACAAAATACAAGCAAACAGAATCCAACAACACATTAAAAGGATCATACAGGCTTCCCTGGTGGTGCAGTGGTTGAGAGTCCGCCTGCCGATGCAGGGGACACAGGTTCGTGCCCCGGTCCAGGAAGATCCCACATGCCGTGGAGCGGCAGGGCCCGTGAGCCATGGCTGCCGAGCCTGCGCATCCAGAGCCTGTGCTCCGCAATGGGAGAGGCCACAACACTGAGAGGCCCACATACTGCAAAAAAAAAAAAAAAAAAGGATCATACACCATGATCAAGTGGGATTTACCCCACGGATGCAAGGATTCTTCAATGTATGCAAATCAATATGGTGCATCAATTATACACCATATTAACAAATTGAAGAAAAACCATATGATCATCTCAATAGATACAGAAAAAGCTTTTGACAAAATTCAACACCCATTTATGATAAAAACTCTCCAGATAGTGGGCATAGAGGGAACCTACCTCAACATAATAAAAGCCATATACAACAAACCCACAGCAAACATCATTCTCAGTGGTGAAAAACTGAAAGCATTTCCTCTAAGATCAGGAACAAGACAAGGATGTCTACTCTCACCACTATTGTTCAACATAGTTTTGGAAGTCCTAGCCATGGCAATCAGAGAAGAAAAAGAAATAAAAGAAATACAAATTGGAAAAGAAGAAGTGAAACTGTCACTGTTTGCAGATGACATGATACTATACATGGAGAATCCTAAAGGTTCCACCAGAAAACTACTAGAGCTAATCAATGAATCTGGTAAAGTTGCAAGATACAAAATTAATGCACAGAAATCTCTTGCATTCCTATACACTAATGATGAAAAATCTGAGAGAGAAATTATGGAAACACTCCCATTTACCACTGCAACAAAAAGAATAAAATACCTAGGAATAAACCTACCTAGGGAGACAAAAGACCTCTAGGCAGAAAACTGTAAGACACTGATGAAAGAAATTAAAGATGATACCAACAGATGGAGAGATATACCATGTTCTTGGATTGGAAGAATCAATACTGTGAAGATGACTATACTACCCAAAGCAATCTACAGATTCAATGCAATCCCTATCAAATTACCAACAGCATTTTTTTTTTACAGAGCTAGAACAAAAAAATCTTAAAATTTGTATGGAGACCCACAAGACCCCAAATAGCCAAAGCAGTCCTGAGGGAAAAAAACGGAGCTGGAGGAATCAGAGTCCCTGACTTCAGACTGTATTACAAAGCTACAGTAATCAAGACAATATGGTAGGGAAGAGATATGGGAACATATGTATATGTTTAACAGATTCACCTTGTTATAAAGCAGAAACTAACACACCACTGTAAAGCAATTATACCCCAATAAAGATGTTAAAAAAAAAAAAAAGACAATATGGTACCGGCACAAAAACAGAAATATAGATCAACAGAACAGGACAGAAACCTGAGATAAACCCACATACCTATGGTCAACTAATCTATGACAAAGGAGGCAAGGATATACAATGCAGAAAAGACAGTCTCTTCAATAAGTGGTGCTGGGAAAACTGGACAGCTATGTGTAAAAGAATGAAATTAGAACACTCCCTAACACCATACACAAAAATAAACTCAAAATGGATTAGGGACTTAAATATAAGACCAGCCACTATAAAACTCTTAGAGGAAAACATAGGAAGAACACTCTTTGACATAAATCACAGCAGTATCTTTTTTGATCCACCTCCTAGAGTAATGGAAATAAAAACAAAAATAAACAAATGGCACCTAATGAAACTTAAAGGCTTTTGCAAAGCAAAGGAAACTACAAGCAAGACGAAAAGACAACCCACAGAATGGGAGAAAATATTTGCAAACAAATCAACGGACATTAAAGGATTAATCTCCAAAATATATAAACAGCTCATGCAGCTCAATATTAAAGAAACAAACAACCCAATCCAAAAATGGACAGAAGACCTAAACAGACATTTCTCCAAAGAAGACATACAGATGGCCAAGAAGCACATGAAAAGCTGCTCAACATCACTAATTATTAGAGAAATGCAAATCAAAACTACAACGAGGTATCACCTCACACCAGTTAGAATGGGCATCATTAGAAAATCACAGACAACAAATGCTGGAGAGGAGTGGAGAAAAGGGAACCCCCCTCTCGCACTGTTGGTGGGAATGTAAAATGATACAGCCACTATGAGAACAGTATGGAGGTTCCTTAAAAAATTA